TCGTTTCGGGGTAAAAGGGAAGCAACACATAACCAGATGGTCTTGGTAAAGAGGTTGTTTTTAATATTAACCTCAACATAGAGTGATATAAACAACGTGCAGGCTGTTCAAAGGCTCTGAGCTGTCTATACACAACAGTACACAAAAACGAAGGCCTCAGAATATCAGTCACTTAAGACAGAACTGGTGAGACGTTTCGCACAAGTACAACGCTGTCACCAAAACACAATATATCCTAAGCTAAACACATACACTCACATCAATATCCTAAGTACACACACACCACAAGCACCCGAGTTAACCTCTGTTAACAATATCGTAAGGAAACACACATCATAAGCACCCGAGTTAACCTCTGTTAACAATATCATAAGGACACACACATAAGCACCAATAACACACAAACATTCTGAGGCATGGCGTCCTAGCACAGATCCAGTGCCCCGAATGTCAACAACGTCGCAGCTTAAGTAGCGTCATCAAGAGGCGTCGGGACCTCTTCCGGTGGTAGGACCTATGGTAGGAACGAAACAACGTCGCCGACGTGGTAACCATAGTACCTACATGTAATCATAACACACATACACATATATATATACACACACAGAACACTCACAGGCCAGTTAATGCTGAAGGCAAGGCGACAGCCGTAACCCTGCCTTACATGAGTCCATGTAGCTAAAGTTAGCTAGCTAGATGTCTCCTAATAATGCTACTTAGAGGTAAGAAGGTATAGGTAGTTAACACTCACCCGGGCAAAAACAAGGCGACATTTGTTGAATGCCTCTTTGGTGCTGAGGTCATTCACCCATCCACACACGAAGTAGTTGAAAGCTTCCAGGCTTTTATACGCTTTCATTTGGCTAGCCGTGTAGTAGGAGGTATGAAGGACGAGGTAGCTGGTGATATCCATCGCCTCGACAGCGGGCAAATCGGATAAATCACGAGAAAAGTCGCTCTTTTTCAGCTGATACAGATCATATCCGATGTGTGCTGTGATTTTTTCACGATATCTGCGGCGTGCAGGTTCATTTAATTGTTTGACATAGTCGGTGTCCTCCATGATTCCTGCGTTGATGAATGATTGCGTTTTCACTTCCTGACCTCCACTTGAATTTTGCGCGTCGTAGAAGTCACGTGACTGAAACCAAGCTATTCATCCGCAATGTATCGAAATATCACAGATTTCGGTGGATAGGTTCAGTCTGTCTTGGGGAATAGCCACAACAAAACATGTTCATTTTGGACAATAGGGGGCGCCAAAAACACAACTAATTTATATCTCAAGAACCGATGGACGAAATAAATATATGTTGTCATAGACATACTGGAAGGGTGAGTATAAACTGAGATTTAAAGGGTCGCAACCAATGAAAAATATGGGCGTGTTCTATTCAGTTTTTTCTCGAAATCGAAGGGTTAAAAAACGTCCCCGCCCACAACCTTTTCCAGACTGTACAAAAAAATCGTACGTTTTAGCAAATACGGCTCAGTAGCGCTCCCTATTGTTCGGTAGTCACATATAGTTTATCCAAACTACCCGAAACTTGGCACAGACATTCCTCATGGAATTGCGGACATATTTCAAAATGGCTTCCATTATCCCCGCCCCCCATGAAGTCGGCCATCTTGAAAAATGTCCGTTTTAAGCGCATTTTCGCATACTCTAGGTCTCCTAGGGAAATGATCGGAAAAATTCGAGGTTCGACTTGCCAGCCATGTGCTTAATATCTGTGGTGAACTCCGAGATGTAGGAAAGCTGCCGCTGCTGACGTGCCGACCAAGGCTCTGCCACTTTAGACATGGCGAACGTGAGCGGCTTGTGATCGACAAACGCCGTAAATTCAAGGCCTTCCAGCAAAAAACGGAAGGGCCGCACGGCCAAATAAAGTTCTCTGGGCGTCAGCTGACGGCTGAAAAAGGCGAGTGGCTGCCAAGTGCCCTCCACCCACTGCTCGTGAACCGCATCAACAGCGTAGTCCGATGCGTCTGTGGTAATGGAGATGGGAGCCGTGGATGATGGATGTGCCAACAGGGCCGCCTGAGCCAACGTGTTCTTGACCTCCGTGAAAGCAGACGCAGCTTCCGCCGTCCGATCGCCTGGACGGGGGTCGTACCTTTCAAAGCCTCATACAGCGGCCGCATAATGTGAGCGGGCCCGGGCGATTGAAACGGTGGTAGAAAGTCACCATCCCCAGAAACTCACGGAGCGACCGGGCTGTGAGTGGGCGAGGAAAAGCCGCAACAGCCTCCACCTTCGCCGGCAGGAGTGCTGCACCGCCTTTGGTGACGTGGTGTCCGAGGATGTCAATGTCAAACACCCCGAACTGGCACTTTGCAAGATTGATGATCAACCCGTGTTGGCTGAGCCTCACGAAAAGGGCTCGGAGTTGCGACAGGTGCTCTTCCACCGAAGCGCTGGCGACGAGTATGTCGTCCAGGTAGACGAACACGAATGGCAGGTCCCGCACCATCGAATCCATCAGGCGCTGGAACGTTTGGGCGGCGTTCTTGAGCCCAAAAGGCATCCGCAGGAACTCAAAAAGTCCAAACGGCGTTATCACTGCTGTCTTAGGGACGTCCAGGGGATGCATGGGCACCTGGTGCTAACCACGCACCAGGTCCACTTTCGAAAACACCGACGTACCGGCCTGATGTGCCGAGAAGTCTTGAATGTGCAGCACCGGGTAGCGGTCGGGTGTCGTGGCGTCGTTGAGGCGGCGGTAATCCCCACAAGGGCGCCAACCACCGTTCGGCTTGGGAACGGCGTGTAGAGGAGAGGCCCAAGGACTGTCAGAACGGCGGACGATGCCCAGGCGTTCCATGTCCAGGCGTTCCATGGTTGAAAACTCCGCCCTCGCTACTGAAAGCTTAGAAGGGTTCAACCGCCAGGCCCTGGCGTAGACTGGGGGACCTTCGGTGTTGACGTGGTGCTCCACCCCATGCTTGGTGGTGAGCGCGGAGAAGGTGGGCAGCATCAGGTCTCGAAAGTCAGCCAACAGCCTGAAAAAAATGTCCGCTCCCGACAGCGAGCCCGACAGCCCATCCTACGCTGCCTTGCCAAGTGTACACACGAGGGAGAAAAACGTCAAGGCATCAACCAAGCGTTTATTTTTAACGTCCACAAGGAGTCCGTGAGCACATAAAAAATCAGCCCCGAGGAGGGGAAAATAAATGTCTGCTGTCACAAAATCCCAGTTGAACCGCTGTCCTCCAATACACAAACACATAGGCCTCACGCCGTATGTGCGAATGGGGCCGCCATTAGCCGTCGTCAACCGCGGTCCATGTCCCCCACGAGCAACGTCTTCCCTCGACGCAGGAACTACAATCCGTTGAGCTCCCGTGTCACACAAAAACAAGCTTCCCGAGACTCTGTCGCTGACGAAGAGAAGCCTGCTCGTGCCGCCAACGCTGAGGCCCTCTACTGAGCACCGGTTTCCCGGAGGCTTGTAGCTGCAGGGAGCGACACACTTCTTTGCGCCGGTCCCGAACCACGCATGGTAAAGACACTCTCCTGTGTCTCCACGCCAGCTTGCTGCTGTCGTGTCCAGTCTCCCCCAAGCCTTCTTAACTGTTGCGGGGGCGCTGAGTGTCACAGCTAGCGCCTCTGCACCGGGCTGCTGGGTAGCCAAGAAGAAAAGGTCGGCCTCTTCAGCCAATGCACGGGGGCTCTGTAATGGACGTGTTGGCTAGCGCGGTCTGGACACTGGAAGGCAAGATGCGTAGGAATGTCTCCATGAATAAAATCGGGGGATCTTCCCCCCCCCTAGCAGATTTAGCATTTTCTCCATTAGCTGAGATGGCTTGCTATCCTCTAGGCCTTGAATTTCAAGAATCTGGCGGGCCCTCTCCTTAGCAGATAAGCTAAATGTCTTAAGGAGAAGGGCTTTAATCGCCTCATATTTGCCATGGTGTGGGGAGTCAGCGATAAATCCCACCAACCTGGATGACGTAGAGCTTCCCAGCGCTGCTACTATATGGTAGTATTTCAAATCCCCATCACGGACTTGTCGGCAGGCAAAGTGTGCCTCCACGTGTGCAAACCACGCCGCAGCGCCATGCTCCCAAAACTCCGGCAGCTTTACAAAAACATCGCAATTAGCCATGTTCATTGAGTCTTCCGAAACTTTCACGAAAACGTCAGTGTAGAAACGAAGAATGGGAGTCGGAGGCGGTGTGTTAAGTATGGAACTCCACACTTTATTATACATTGGATCACAAGAGATGAGTACACTTGCTAGTACTGCATGTCATGCTAGCCAGAATGAACAACAACCCCGGTGCCCTCACTAACGGGTCCGGGTTGCAACACACACCAAACACACGGTGAATGATGTCCTATCACGTGGCACCACAGTACAATGCTTTTGTATTTGTATTTGATTTGTTTTTTTATCTGTATTTTTGAAAATTATGTAACTTTTTATCTTTTTTTAGCATATTGTTTATTATATTATAACTTGGTACTTTTTTAACGCATGTAAGATATGCAACACTAAGCTGTCTATGGCTCTTTCCTGCTGTAACGCTGCAAATGTCCCCTCTGTGGGACTAATAAAGGTATTCTGATTCTGATTCTGATAACGGGACGAATTTGTCCAAAGGGGCACACAGCAATGTAGTGCCGACTTTCTTACACGCTGGAAGGCCAATCGCTTTTCTTTACCCCGAAATCCGCTCATTCTTGCTCTCGGTGTGTCATAACAAACTGTCAAACTGTCAAGCTGTCAAAACTCTGTACTCAAACCGGAAGTACTCGGCCGCACACCCAGCCGCCGGAAGTTGATCGACGCCATCTTGTGCACAGAGCCTATACCATCCTTAATAAATGCCATCCTTATAAATGTATATAAATACAGTACCGTTTTAAATGATACTTATATTTTAATTATGTTTGATTCCATTAATTGAATTAAATATGTTTTAATGAATTCTACTGAAATGATTGTTACATTTTCATCATGTAACTATTTTTGTTCTTTTATTTTCCTCCCCAGAAAACAGTCCCACCTCCTCTTGAAGACATTTTGCCTCCTGCTAGTGACTTCAGGTCCATATTAGGTAAGCCCTTGAGTGTGTCAGACTAAAGTTGTTGTTTCAGAGGTTAATTCAAGACGTGTTATGTTTACATACTAATATGATGTATGAGCATCAGGTAAACGTACCCATTTCTATTTTTTTAAATCACAGATGGGATGGAGATGTAAACTATGCAGCACTAGTGTCACCACTCAAAGTGATATTTTAAAACATTATCGACTCCATCATGGAACCTTTGGACAGAATCGTGCCTTGCCCTGCATTCATGTAGACTGGCCTGCGCTCTCACTTATAAAGTCAACAGATATTGTTTTAAACTGTATTAAAGTAAACAGGTATTATCTTGAACTGTATTGAAGTAGACATGTATTATTTTGGACTGTTTTAAGTAATCCTATATATATAACCTTCTCACTTACACTCAATGACCCAGATACCCTGCTACACACACATACACCTCCTTCCACCAGCACACACACATATTCTTTGCTCACCTACACTCACTGACCAGATACCAGCACACACACACATACACCTCCTCCCAGCACACACACATATTCTTTTCAAGGTTCAATCTGGGCCAATATAATCTCAGGCACCAATATATCTGTGTATAATGTTTGATTGTTTAGGAAAGAATAGAGTTTGTGTGAAATATTCCTTGGGAAAGTAAAGGAGTGAACTCAGGTGCAAGATAAAAAGTGACTCTGTCCTTGTTTACTTCCGAAGCTCTCACGCTCTGTTCAGAAGAAAAATACTTTTTCCCAGAACTCTGATTCGCTGTATTGGGCCCGACCCAAAGTGAATCCAACCAGTAAATAACACCTAGGGGAGTGAGCAGCCGCACAACTCCTCCCCACGGACTCTCTGATTCGCTTAGGAGTAAAATGGGACGGAAGAGCCGACACAACTCCGCCCCAAATATGTCTATGTATACTGTTGTTGATTCATGCACAATTCCCCCTGTTTCTGACTTGCTGGTCCCGATATCTGTATCGCACGGCAGTAGAACTGGGAGTTCAGAGTACTCTGTAACTTGTATTGGTGTTTTTTACCATTAAAATCAGATTATTGTTATAACTTTTATTCCGGTGTTTTGAACTCCTTCTCTTAATAATCTGACCAGGCTCATCTAACGGACGGCGCGGAGCAGAGGTGGGCTTTAAGCCACCACCACTGTGTTTGCTCCTACACTTATCAAGATGAAAGTTAAAATAATCATCTGTTCTTTTTTATTCTAGGACCCATGTGCCACTTTATATAATCTCTGAGCATGAGGTGGGGTTCAAAATAAGTAGTTGGACATTTTATGAACTATCTCAATATCATGACCATGTGGTTCAATTTCTTGCAAACCAGCCTTTTTGTTGATGGCTTAAACCCCTTGTAATAAATGTGAATAGCACCTCTGTTACTGTCTGTTAACAGCTAATGTAAACTGTCTCGTTATGATTTCAAGACGGATGTGATTTTTGTTGTTGAGGAAAACATGGTGTGTCCTGATTTGTACTCAATGTAGTGTTTTGTTTGTATATACAGGGAACAGCAGAGGTCTAAGTGCAACAGGCTCGTGATGCACGGCATGAAGCAACCTGATCTCACCAGAATGCGTGACTCCACCACGACTCCTTAACACCGCATTAAGTGGTGGAGTCACGAACTTTGCTACATTTACGTGTCTGCACCACGCAAACAACCCCAATGTCCTGCAGTGAGCTTTTATTCTATAAAACGTTTTTAAAATCTACTTTATAGATTGTAGTAACTCACGGGAGGCTTCTTTTATTTTATTTGTATTCATAATATTTTGTATTTTTCGTCAGAATGTATTATGGTGCATTAGTTACGAATTTTTGTTCTCAAAAAACAGTGCATTGTGTGTAATATAACTTTGATTTTTATTAAAGTAGTTAGTTTTTAAGGAAGGCCAGAGTTTCAGCTGTGTCAAATAGATTGTTCCCTTTAGTTAACGTTTTTTAAAAGAACATTATATTCCTATTTGATCATGTCCCCTTTATTGTATTACGGAGAGCAATGTGAGTCCATTCCCATTGGATAACGGAGGATTTTACACCCGGAAGTAAGTATTCTCTTTACTGTCGATTGATTTTACAGTGATATCTGCACTACTCATCAACTCAAAAACACCAGATTATCCTTGTTGATTACACAACATTGATTGGTTTTGTAAGGGAAACTTCTGCAGCAATGGAGAGTCAGGACTCAGAGAGACACGAGGAGAGTTGGAGCTTTGATGTCAAACACTGGTAGTTTATTACAAGTCAACGGCCGGAGAATTCATATCACAAGTCACAGCAGCAAAAGGTTCTGACTGCACGGGTGGGTTGTCATGTCAATTCTCATCAGCCTATCTCTCGATAGACCTTTTAACTAGTTTACAGAGAGTTAATCAGCATATTGGGGGAGGCGTAAACATCTGTGGAGCTAGAGGAGATATCCCCCAACTAGAAATACTCAATCACTTGTCAGTGGTGTTTAGAAGCCAGCATTCTCACAGTCGTAAACCCCACCATCAGGACATAAAACTGACACTTAAGTGCTGGAGCACATTCCTTAAAGGAGATAACAGAAATATCTAGGAGTAAAGACAAAATTATTCCTTCACAGGTTTAAATTGTGTACAATGTTTTTTTAATTTTCCCCTTCGATTCGGAGAAACAAATATTTGTTCAGTTTAGGATGGCCGAAGACACTACACTACCCAGAATCCTCAGCTATCGTTTGGGACTATACCATATGCTTTGCTTGACAAACCCCGTGACTAGTCCTCAAGCTCTGTGATTGGATGTTGGAGTGGCAGTGCGCAAAGTTTACACCGAGCGACAAACATCATTTTGAAATGGAATGAAACCCATCGACGGCACACTATTCAAAACAGGAATCGAACGTCTCCTACCCCTCCCCCCCTTAGGTCACAGGCTCCTCCAACAGTGCAACACAATAAAACAGATACACAGAAAAAATAGTGCAAGTCAATACAAAAAGAAAAATAGTAAAATAGTAAATAGTGCAATAAGAGTCTATATACAAGTGATTGGAATATGATATATTAGACAAATCATTTCAAGTAGCAGCCAGATGAATGCTATGGATGTTATTGCAAAGTTCAGGTGTTTAATAGTCTTATGGCCTGTGGGATGAAACTGTCCCTGAGTCTGGTGGTTTTAGTCCGGATGTAAGGTAAGATAAGATAAGATGGTACTTTATTGATCCCAATTTGGGACATTGTTTTTGTTGCAGCAGCATAAAAGACAAGGCATTTTACAATAAAACAAAACTACAAATAAACAGTCAAGCTCCGTTGACTGTCCAGCTGCAGGTGGAGAGGATGGGTGGGGTTATCCATCATGGACAACAGCCTGTTCAGTGTCCTCCTCTCCACCACAGCTTCAAAGGGGTCCAGCTTGATGCCGATGACAGACCCAGCTTTCCTGATCAGTTTATTGATCCTGCTGGTGTCACCGGCTCTTATGCTGCCCCCCCCCCCCCCAACAGACCGCAGCAAAGAAGAGTGCACTGGCCACAACAGACCGGTAGAAGATCTCCAGCATCTTGCTGCACACGTGGAAGGATCTCAGCTTCCTCAGAAAATAGTCTGCTCATCCCCTTCTTGTACACAGCGTCAGTGTTGATCCTCCAGTTCAGCCCATAAGTGCACTCCCAGCAGGTACTTGTAGTCCTCCACAACAGCCACATCCTCTCCTAGAATGTGGCTGTTGTGCCAGACGGCAGCAGACAGAACAGTTTGTGGCTCGGGTGATGGGGTCTTTTATAATCCTGAGGGCTTTCTTTAAGGTTAACCTGGTATTTTTACTCCACTACATTTATTTGAGTTACTTTGCAGATTCTGATTAATGATGTGAAATATAAACAACCCTTAAATCAGACTTTAGTTACACCTGAGTAAAATTCAGGGAAAGGTGATTGTCAAGTGCCAACAATCGGGAGAGATATTCGATTGGAGGGCTGGCTTATCTAAAGCCAGTTGAGTAGCACTTGAAATGTTTTGGCTCTATGAAACCTGATGTACTTATATGATTCTGTTTTCTTCAAGCTTGTATTTTGTTGGTCGAACGCACTTATTGTAAGTCGCTTTGGATAAAAGCGTCAGCGAAATGCAATGTAATGTAATGATTGTTGGTGCTTGAGAAGACTAAATATTTATCTGCAGATCCCTATAAAGTATATACATTACTCGTTATTCTCTACAAATAGTTAATTAAAAACTGTATATAATTGCTATTTTGGACATCCCTTTTCAAGATTTCAATATTACTCTAAACGTGTAATAACGTGCTTTAACCAGTAGGAGGTTAAAAAGCTGTCAAGTTTACAGTGTTAACACAATATAATATACTGCTGTTTCTGGTTTAGTTTACGACGGATATATTCTGTTATTGTTTTGATATTTGTAACACAAAAGCGATGGAAAAACCCCACAGCAACACAGAAAAGATGGTCTTAACATGACCCAGCGGTCTAGTAGTTAATAAAAAACAATAATATGAAAACAAATTATTACTACTAACTTTATTGTGAAATTAAAACAGAACGATAAAATAATAGTTTCCGGTCTATTTTGAGGCCAGGGTTGCGTTCCAATAATCCAAAAATCACCACGGGTGACGTCTTCACTCGATGCTGGAACTACGCTCCGTTGAGCGCCCGTGTCACACAGAAACAGGCTCCTCGAAATGCTGTCGCTGACGAAGAGGAGCCTGCACGTGCCGCCGACGCTCAGGGCCACTACTGAGCGCCGGCACCTCCGTTTCCCGGGGGTTTGTAGCTGCACGGAGCGATGCATTTCTTCGCCATTGTCCCGAAACGTGCGTGGTAAAAGCACTCTCCGGTGTCTCCACGCCGGCTCGATACAGCCGTGTCCGGCCTCCGCCACGCTTTCTTGACTGCAGATGGGCCGCTGAGCGTCGCGGCTAACGTCTCTGCATCGGGCTGTTGTGTAGCCAGGAAAAAACGATCTGCTTCTTCAGCCAAGGCACAGGGCTCCGTGTCAGGCGTGTTGGCCAGCGCCGTCTGAACCCGGGGAGGCAAGTGACGCAGGAAAATCTCCGTGAATAGAATCCGGAGATCTCCCCCCCCTAGCAGATTTAGCATTTTCTCCATTAGCTGGGATGGCTTGCTGTCTCCTAGGCCTTGAATGTCAAGTAACTGGCGGGCCCTCT